ATATCTAACGCTAATTTCCATACAACAACTATCTAAAATTACAACAATAAAACAAAATCTTTCACCTTTGTATTTTTCTTTGACTTCAAGGTCTAAATCATCACTCGGATCATATAATGAATCATCATGCCGACTATAATGGTGATGGATATAACTTTCATCTAAATAAATCATAGGCCGTCGATTGACATCGCCTTTCAAAATTTCACACATTTCAGAAATATACATGTCACGATGCTCAATATTCGCAGCACATATTCGGAGCCCAAGACTCTTTTTCTTTTTGCCGCGTTTGTAGCCGAGTTTCGCCAAAACTCTTTGTGTTGCTCGATACGCAGCATCGGTTGAGAGCTTCGACTCCGGATCGAACGGCAACATGTTCTGTGACCGCTAGAAGTGGGCGACGTCATTTGCGACGGTACGTTGACGAGACTGGCGGCGGATGCGGACGAACTCTTGAATTGCGTCGACGATCTCCGGGGTGGTTGGGAGCCTTGTACGCGAGGACATGTCTCGGGTCGTTGTGGCCTTGATCGTGGTATCCCCAGGTACTGTAATATCACCCTTTCCAAACGGCTTGAACCGGTTCATGCTTTCGGCGCAGAAGCCGAGCGACTCTGCGTGTGGGCGTGTGCAGAGGAATACGAAGGAGGTGGTAGAATCAAGAATGAATTGATAGCGTTAAGACTACTACGCTATCACTAAGCTACGCGCAACCAACCATTGATGTATCGTCGGGAGAACACCTTGGTTGCGCAAGAGGACATGTTGGTCTGCGAAAAGACAGCTTGGACTGACTGTGAAGAGGTGTCGACTAGTCATCTGGTTACACTGCGACTGGCAGCGGGTGTGCCTTCTTGGCGCAGCATGGCGTTTAGCATTACCATGTCCAAAATCTCTGGTTTCGAGACAATGGACCCGCGTGAGCGTTTCACGTAGGCAATGGCGCGGTGGATGTCACTCAGTTTTTCGGCGGCTGAGGGCATGGTTGGATCAGCATGGTTGTGGCAAAGAATTGGGCAGAAATTCATGGCATGTGTTAGTAATGATGAACCTCTCGGTAATTTTATAACCGGTCTAGGTAGTTATTTATAGAATGTGAAGAGTTATACGGTCTTAAGGTGACTTTAGCCTCTATTTTGAACTTTCATGGATCGAGTTGTCGAGAATATCATCATTCGGAGTGTCAAATAATATGAATTCATAGCTCAGGCTGGGAGCGTCATTTCCACTCCTGGCATATATTTTTAGCATTTGTTTTGCAATTTATATGGGGAAAGACCCCCTCCACGCTGCCGACCACTGTTAGTCGAAGTGCAATTGTATTAAAAATACAGAGTTGCCCGTATTTTCACTTTGTGTTCAATGGAGGACGACGACGACATCGTACTGCTTGTGCAAGCCTAGCGAGTGTGGCCGCGGCTGCACTTCTCAACGATGACGAGACACAACGAACTGTGCCAACATCGCGCTTTGTACGCCCACTTGTGTCCTACATGGAATTCCTCAAACTCCAACACAGTCTGCTCAGCGACAATGGCGATCGCATCGTATTCGATACCTTCCGCATGTGTTTGGCGGAGCTCGACCATCTTGTCGACGTATGCAAGGCCTTCTTGACCCCAAAACTGTGTGCCAAACGCGTCATTTGTGTCTGCTTGCAATGGCTTGCTACCGGCGCTAGTGTGCGCGCCCAAAACAACTCTTTCTCGACCGCGGCATTTCAACAATCCATCACTATCGAATCCATGGCCTACAAGCAATACTCCGCGGGCTTGTGTCGTGTGGTCTACGACGGAGACATCAACAATGCTGCTCGCCTTGATAATCAAGTGTTGCGTTCTCGAGTGACGAGCCGTCGCTACGAGGTTGTGTCGGTGCCATGGATGGGACACATATCCCAATTGTGGTCCTTCGCGAATATGCCGACAAATATCGCAACCGGTATGTTTATAGTAACAGTAATACATACTAGTACTAAAAATGTGTCTTGATATATATATATATATATATACTGTATATTCATTGGAAATATTGAGTTATTATAGGTATTTTTATAGTAATATTAATGCATACAAGAACTGAAAATATTTTTTGATACATTATCATTGGAAATAATACGTTTTTATAGGAAGGGGTTTACATCAACTAACGTGTTGGGAGTTGTGGACCACAATGGGATGTCCTTGCGACGTTTGTTGGTGCTGAGGGTTGTTCCAGCGACCGATTTGTGCTTGCACATTGCCGCGAGTTTCTGATCATCCTACCCCCCGGGTACTACTACTTGGGCGATGCCGGTTACTCGCTTAGCCTCAACGACTTGACACCATTCCGTTCAATGAGGTACCATCTGCGTGAGTGGGCTACGAAAGAGGATGGTCGTCCACAAAACCCTCGTGAGATTTTCAACGACCGTCACTCCAAAGCTCGAATTGTTGTGGAACGCGCGTTCGGGATGTTAAAACGGAAGTGGGGAATTTGTCAAAGCCCTTGGAAGTTGAGCTTGGTACCGTCAACGGTATTGACCAGACCTGCTGCGCCCTTCAAAACTACGTCTTGTCGTGCAGCCAAGCCAGCATTGGTGAGCTTGATGACATTGATGACGATGATGACGATGCAGATGCTGTGCATGATGAGTCGATGGCGCTGCTGTATGAAATCGCCGACGACATGGGTGGTGATGCTACGGCCTGGAGAAATTCACTTGCAAGTGACATGTGGAATTCCTACCAGCAATTCAGTACTAGTACATAATACTAGTTGATCATAAACATGGTTGCATTTGAAACCCCGCAGTGCATCCTTTGTTAATAATGCTCATGCAAGCTTTCCCACTCACAATTATGTTATATATACTAGTTATAAATATACATATACTAGCATTCACCAATCACTAACAATTAAAACAATCTTTACAAACTCATATTACTCGGTTTCAGATGCGTTGCTATTAATATTGCTAACGTGATCGACCATTGATCGGCCAAATGACCATCGATCGGCCAAGGTGTTTCGTCCAATTGAAATTAATACGTTGTTTCATTGGACAAAATAAATTCTTGTGATAAGTTTTACCTGTATAATATGATGGAGGTAAACAATTCAACGTTGAACAATACTTGCAGCTCTTACTCTGAATACGTATACCTGTTGAAATTTAGTAAACCTTTGAGACATAGTCTTTGAATTTTTGGAGCAAAAAATTGACCCAACATTTTTCAATACTTAATTCAAGTGTAAATTTTGGCCGATCAATGGTCGACTGTGTAAAGTGCCGAACTTTGACATTTTTTTGGCCTGCCAAGTATTGTTTACATCGATACATATGACTATGCCGCGAAAGAGCTTTCCGTCAGCTTTCCGGAAATCTTGGTTTCAATGAAATGCCATGAAAACCAATTGAGATATTTTAGTTTGAAAATTTTGAAAATTTGGCTGATCAATGGTCGATCACGTTATGAGTTTCATTTTCCTATGCAGCTTCGAGTCCATTCTTCATCGCGTACAGCCGAACCAGATCCGCTACACTGTCTGACAGCCGTTGAATTTCCTTGAATCTCTCGTTGGTGTCTTGACTTTGTTGACCTCTCTTTCGATTCTTCTTCAGCTGATGGAGGATTGTTGCTCTTTTTTGCGCGGCAGTCAAATTACCGTGATCCAGATCGACATCTCTACATTCCACAACAGACAAACTGCGCGCATCGCCACGTTCCACGACTGCACCCACGACGTCTTCAGCAGTGCTCATACCCTGCACAATTCCCGATGCTGACACGATATTGTCCCCACCCGCCATCGAGTCTCCAATAACACTTGACATGGCCTCCCAGTGCTGGTAGGGCTTGTCCTTGAATCGCGACAACTTTGACTTGGGTCGCCCGGTGTCGAATTCACCCCACTTGTCGTCCGAGAAGCCATCACCAAACCCCGAGAAGTTGAGAAGGAACTCGTAGTCCGCGAAATCGCCTTTCATGCGTGACCACTTCAACTGAAGTTGCCCCGTGGAATCAAATCCAAATGGCTGGAGTACTTCCAACACACACTGCCACCCTGGCTCGCGTAGATTCTTTCCACCGGCCGCCACGTGCTTTGTTTTCGTCGCCTGCTGCTGGAATGTGCTGATCCGTCAGAGCTCCGAGTCGACAGTCCAAACGGCAATGGACTTGTCGTGCAAGTTGGTGGTTGTTAAGCAAATGGAGAGTGGATTTGACCTGCCACATGTTATATTTTACCTTCCTGTATTAGTACTCTGGTGCGGACAAATGTATTGACTTTTTTTGTCATTGGCGGAATTTTTCTAATTTTGTGCTAATAATGAATCTAATTGGCCCACCTGAAAGCGAGATCTCGTCTTTGATTGGATGATTTCCAAGCAATCTAAGACCTTTTTGCTCAAATGTTATGGCGGCATAAAGTTGTTGCCTCAGACCTTGGCATACATAACAACCCGCTGAGGTTTCATTTTCAACTTTCGACCGTCACGCTCAATAGACCCCCTCTTGTTCACACCAGTTTACTTGCATCTATGCCGTCGCCGCGCTCCCCAAATGTCGGGACCCCCCGTACTGGCAACAAGAAGCTCACCGATGGCCAGAGGCAATCCATCTACGAAACGCTTCTTGAAAGAAGCGTGGATGGAGAACTGCCACATGGATGTATCACACAAACTGCTCGGCTTTACGCATGCACATTAAAGACGATATCCAACGTGTGGGCTCGTGGCCGCCTCTCCATCCGCCATGGCAGCTCGACTGCCGACGTATCGGCAAAATACAAAGGTGAAAACTCTATACAATTATATTTCGATGACAAATTATAGATTGACACGCAAGTATTAATTCCGAAAGGTAACTGATTTTAGGAAATCACAACGGCAAGCGCGTGATGTCCGACGACGAAATTGAACGTGCGATTCGTGCTGTTTCTCTACACGAGCGCCAGACCCTGCGATCTTTGGCGGCTCGTTCCGGAATATCCAAGACAACAATCATTCGGCACATGGAGTGTGCAAAGACGCTCAAACTCAAGTTCAGCCACTCCAAACCGTACCTCACCGACGCCAACAAGATCAATCGGATGAAGCATGCGTTGGCTTTCCTCCAACCATCGTCGAATGAAACTATTTTCGACAGCATGAACTCATATGTTCATGTTGATGAAAAATGGTTCTATTTGACGACGGTCAAGAAGTGTTTTTACGCCTACGACGACGAAGAGCTCCCCAAACGCCAACTCAAGTCAAAGCGATATATTACAAAGGTCATGTTCCTTGCTTCCGTCGCCAGACCTCGATACGACCCCCACAAGAAGGGCTTCTTCGATGGGAAGATTGGAATTTGGCCCTTTGTCGAGACGGTGATAGCCAAAAGAAACAGCCCAAATCGCCCGAAGGGTACGCCGTTGATAGTACCAGAAAGTGTGACGGCAGATGTGTACCGTAGAAGGATTATTGAAAAGGTCATCCCCACAATCAAGGCAAAATAATATATTTGAAGCAAGATAATGCGAGTCCACATAATAGTGTGACGACGCTTCAAGTTGGTGTCAATGGCATCGAGGCTGCGAATCAACCTCCTAATAGTCCAGACTCTAATGTCTTGGATTTAGGATATTTTAATTCGATTCAAAGTCTACAAATCCAAAAGTGTACTCGAACCATTCAGGAACTAGTCTCCCACAAGTCCACCGTATCTGGCCCATCGCCGTGCCGTTCGTGCTGTAGAAAGCTCTTTTGATGAGCTGCCTCGTGATACATTATCAAAATTTTTATTACTTTGCAAAAGGTGATGGAATTGGTGCATTGGGTAGAAATGATTATGAGCTTCCTCATATGAGGAAAGATGCTACAATCAAGGACGTGACATTGTATAATAGGGAGAGTCAGTTTAGAAATTCTCCACTCATTTTCGATTTTCGCCCAATCTGAAAAGTAAGTTGCGAAGGCAGGAAAAGCAAGGGAGAGTCAAAATAGAACCAACCGTTTTCATCTATCCGTATCCGTATATTATGCAGCATTGCTGGAAATGCCACGGAGGTCGGAGAGGTCGGCGATATTGGCCGACCTCGATGGCATGGTTCGAACGCTTGTGACGTGCAATCCAATATTGTCGGCTACGACTAAGAAGGAGGTACAGAAGCTCCTAACCATTCGATGTGCGCTACTTAGTTCTCGCTACATGTCTGCACGAGTGCCATTGGTTCGCTCACTTGGACAGCTTTCCATTTTACCACACTTAGCCATTGGTGACTTTGTGCAAGAGGTCAGAGTGTGTCAATCAACATTTGCGTATTTAGTGCATTTGATCTGTGAGAATGAAGTGTTTCTACCAACTAGCAATCGCACACAACGACCAGTGTGGGTGCAGCTAGCATGCGCCTTGCATCGTCTTGGTCACAATGGTACTGGTGCTTCAGTTGGTATGGTGTCGAGGGCCAAAGGTATTGGGAGTGGAACTGTGCACGTTTACACACAGCTTGTTATTCATGCATTTGTATCTTTGTCACAATCGAAAATTATGTGGCCTAATTCATCTGAACGAAGCCAATTAGCCATGTACAATGCAGAACGTTATGGATTTCGTAACTGTATTTTGTCAACTGATGGCACACATGTTGTTTTATATCGCAAGCCAGCACTGCATGGCGAGGTATATTACAGTCGAAAGAAAGAATATTCAATGAATGTTCTGTTGACGTTT